TAGGCAGAGTAATAACAAGGATGAGGCAACTAGAGCTTTGTCCCTAGGTGCTGAAATTTAGAAGGTCCTGACAGAACCATCTCAGGTACACTTCATCCACCATGGACGCATCTTATGCAAACTCTCCCAACCCCTCCCCCACATAATCCCACTCCTTATTCCAGGTGCAAAAATTCCTAAGCAGAAAAGAAGAAAACAAGCATTTATTAAAAACCTACCATGTACCAGGTATGATTATCTCATTGAATCTTTGGAACAACCCTGGGAGATAGCTACTATTACTATCTTAATTTTAAAGTTGAAGAAACTGTGGCAGACAGAAGTTAAGTCACTTGCCCAAGGTCACAGAGCTAGTATCACACCTAAGTATCTAGGACTAGATTTTCAGTCTTTGTGACTCCAGGCCCAGTGTTCTATCCACTGTGCCCCTAGCTGTCATATTGTATTTTGCTATTGTTCAATCATTTTAGTCACATCTCACTCTTTGTGACCCCATTTGAGGTTTAGGGTGGTTTGCCATTTCCTTCTCTAGCTCATTTTACAGATGAGGAAACTGAGGTAAATAGGGTTGAATGACTTGCCCAGGGTCACACAGCTAGTATACATCTGAGGCCATATTTGAACTCACAAAGATGAGTCTTCCTGACTCCAAGCCCAATATTCTATCCATTTTTTTACCTAGCTGGCTCATCATATAGTATAGCTCTGGATAATAATAACAACAATAATAACAATAGAACATTTTATGTATTGTTTACTATGTGCCAGGCACTGAGCTAAGAGGGTCACTGTATGACTAACCCAAGATCACCTAGCCAGTATCTGAGGCTGGATTTGAACTCATGTCTTCCTGACTCCACTGCACTACCTAGCTGCCATATAGTATAGCTCTGGGTAAAAAAAAATAATTTAAAAAGGACCCTAAGTAAAAAGCTACATAAATAAATAGGCAGGCAACTTCTTAAAATGTCTTAATAGGTACTGCTTCATCTTATCTTCCAATAGCCTGAAAGATTAAATGCCACTTTACAAAGATGACTAATTTAAATCTTAGAGTAACTCTGGCCTTGAGAGGATGTTACTCACTGAAGGTGCAGTTATTGAAGTTCAGCAAGGAATGAAGATAGTGGCTGTGCTTCAAGAAACAGGCTAAATAGTATTGAAGGGTGCAGCAATTACCAAAAAGGTTTCCAGACACACTCAAGTTATTGGACCCTGCTACAAATGGTGACTTCCACTATCAATTAACTCAGTTCATTTGTGTCACTAAAGCCAAGGCTCACAGTAACTGGAACAAAAAAATGATGTTTACATTTTACTAGTGTTTTATATTCAATTAAACATCTTGGCTGTTATTTACATAGTTGAATGGCATGGCATTTATACCATGCAACTTGATTTTATATTTGTATAAATATTTCTCTAAAGGGAGACCTAAGTTCAAATTAGTTGTGAAAATGTCACTAAAATTAAAATAAACTTTAATTTAAAATTGATCACAAATTCTCCTAAAACTAGAGCAGAAAGCCCATAAAAATTATAAAAATGGAAGAAAATAAAACATATTAAGGCAGACTGCACAATTCCAGAAAGGAACCTCACTGTTAAACTGTCTTCAACAAGATAAAAATGAGCCTTCTCGTTTGTGATTCTGTGGGTTTAGCTCCAAATGAGCTTGTGGTAGGAAGTTTATATGTCGGAGAACATAGGTATGTAGGACAGTAAGCCTGGGCCCCAAGGCGTCACCTTTTGAACCAGTAGTTCAAGTTCTGGCATGGGTCACAACTGGCATTTTTTTTTCATTTCCTAATAGTCACCTCTATTTGATCTAATTCAGTTTAACTGGCAATCTCCATTCAATTAAAACCTGAAACTACCAGGGTTGGGCAGGTCAGAACTAAATTTGGAGGAGATAAATTAGATAGATAGATAGATAGATAGATAGATAGATAGATAGATAGATAGATAGATAGATAGATAGATAGATAGATGGACAAATGAACAAATGAATGAATATTACACACACACAGACACACACACACTCACACACACACACACACATACACTGGCTCTTCCAAACTTTTTCATCCCTCCTCAAAGCTCCTGTGCCTCTTCCTATCCCTTCAGTATCTCAGCTGAGAACTTTAGCTTGTACTTGACTAAAAATATTGAGGCCATTCACCAAGAGCTCCCTCTTCTTCCTTCCTCCTCTTCTCCTCATCATTTGCTGTCTGCAACTATGTCCTTCCTCCTTTATCTCACATGATGAGGTAGCCTTCTCCTTGCCAAGGCTAACTCTCCTACATGCACAAGTGACTTCATTCCATCTCTTCTCTAATAAATGACCTCCTCTCAACATTCCCACTCTCTCAGTTATCACCATTCCCTCCCTGCAAACTGGCTGCTTCCCTATTGCTTGCCTATATCTCCCCCATCCTCAACAAATTTGATCCCTCCATCCCCACTGTCATCCCATCTCCCTTGCCTTTGGTGGTGGTGCTTCTACTTATGTCACTCTCTTAACTTTACAATCTAGCTTCCTACTTCATCATTCAATTGAATCTACTCTCCCCAGAGTTACTAATCATCTCTTAATTGCCCAATCCAATGGCCTTTTCTTAGTCCTCATCCTTCTTGACCTCTCTGCAGCCTTTGACACTGGTTGATCACCTTCTTCTTCATCATACTCTTTTCTCTATGTTTTCAGGACACTACTGTCTCCTGGTCCTTTTCCTATCTGACTATTCTTTTTCATTTTTGTTTCCTGAATCTTCCTCAACATTGGCTTCCTCCCATCCACCCCACCCCCAGCTAACCATGGGTGTCTAATAGGGCTCTTCTCTTTCTCTTTAATATACTATTTCAATTGATGATCTCATCAGTTTCCATGGATTCAATTATCATGTCTACGCTGATGATTCTCAGATCTACTTATCCATCCCTAACCTCTCTGATTACTTCCAATCTTGAGTCTCCAACTGCCAACTAAATATGTCAAAGGGGATCTCCTGAGGACATCTTAAACTCAACGTGTCCAAAACTAAGCTGATTATCTTCCCCCACCCAATTCTTCCCATTTCTAAACTTCCCTATTACTATAGAGGGCACCACCATCTTCCTAGTCCCTTGGCTTGAAATCTAGGTGTCAACCTTGATTCTTCACTCTTTCTCACTCCTTATATCTAATCTGTTGACGAGGTTTGTCAATTTTGCATTCATGACATCTCAAATATACCTCCTTCTCTCCTCTGATATTGATCCCACCCTGGTGAAGGACCCCATTGCTTCATGCCTGGAATATTGCAATTGGCTGCTAGTTGGGCTCTCTGCAACAAGTCTTTCCCCATTCCAGGCCATCCTCCACTTAGCAGTCAAAGTTATCTTCCCTCTAAGTATCTGAACATGTCACTCCTGTACTCAATCAACTTGTGTCTTCCAATCACTTCTGGTATCTTACAAAATCCTCTGTTTGGCATCAAAGCCATTCATAACCTGCCCACCCACACACACACACTTACCACAACCATTCCAGTCTTCTTACATCTTGCATCCCAATGTACTGTTTGATCTGGTAACACTGGTAACACTGTTCCTTGAATGAGATTTCCATATTCGGACTCTGTATTTTCACCGGCTGTCCCCTATGCATAGAATACTCTCCCTCTTCATCTCCTGGTTTCCCTGGCTTCCTTCAAGTCTCAGCTAAAAACCCACAGGAAGCCTTTCCCAACCCCTTCTAGTATCTTCCTTCTGTTGATTATTTCCTATTTATCCTGCATATAGCTTTATACATTGTCATTTACATGTCTCCCCCTGTTAGACTGTGAACACCTCAAGGGCAGGGAGGGTCTTTTGCTTTTCTTTGTATGCCGAGTGCACAGTGTCTGAACTTGGAGTAGACCTGAGTATGAAACCTGCCTCACCTGCTAGCTGTGTAACCCAAGGCAAGTTACTTAACCTCTCTCATACCTCAATTTCATCATCTGTAAAGTGGGGATGTTAACAACACCTACTTCACCAAGTTGTTGTGAGGATCAAAGGGGATAACAAGTGCAAAGTGCTTCCCAAACCTGGAAGTACCACATAAATGCAATTATTAGTAGTAATATTATCATCATTATTATTTATATAAATGTGACAGCCAAAACCTAGAAGCAGTGAAAATAGAAGACAAGGACTTCACACACAAAATTACGTGCAATGGATTTATATGCCCACTCCCTCCTGAGATCTCTTCCAATCTGGGACACGTTGCTCACACTGACCATACAGGCTTATTTCTTAGCAATAACCCACAGAAATCTGTCCTTAATAAAGGACTTTCCTTCTGAAACTTAGAGGAAGTCACTAAAACTGGATCTACACAAGGGCAAAATGTCTAGTCTATTCTACCACTTTGGCTCAGTCAAAATTTTTTTTAAAACACCATACAGACAAGACAAAGAGTTAATTAACTAGATTCTGTTTGTTTTATTTTACTCACCTTGGTAAATGGGTAAATGCTATCAGGAGTTTCACTACCTGGAAAAAGGCTATACCACTAACTGAACCCAGCCCGTGGTGATAATGTAAGGATTAATTTCATTCATGTTTTAAAAGAACTTTCAAGATGAGAAGGAGTAATTATGAATAAGCAATAAAGTGGCAGCCAAGATATCTATAATGATTAGAGTAAAACAGGAAGAAAGCACCACTGGAAAATTTGGAAATTTCTACAGCCAAGGGTTTGTTTCTGAGTAAACCCTTTAATAATGAAAGTCCCTGAACTAGCCTTCAGATGAAAAGCAGTTCATATGTGTCTTTAATTAGATCATGCTATTGGAGTACAATGTAGTGATAAAGAAGATTTAATAAAGCATTTTATCTTTTTATTACTTTGATTTGATGCAACATATCTGCTTATCTGGGCAAGATGTTTAACTTCAAAAAGAGGTTCTGTCCACCCACCTCTTTGCTGGATAAATAACCTAGAAGGAATAAAAACAATATATTTGTAACTTGCCTGCTCTGTTGGGTGATGAAAACATCAATCATTCTCCTTCTACTGTAGACACAAGTCTACAATTAGCCGCTTTCTTCTATCCTACAGAAGAGTAGATTTTGAACAGATTTAAATGTTGGTAGTTATTAGTTAACAAAGAAATACCTTTTAGGAAAATTTTGAATCACTCAGTCAAGTCAATAAACATTTATTAAGCACCTACTATGTGTCAGGAATTTCCTCCTTCAATTTGATCCTAAATGGAACAGAAAGCCCCATTAATTTCTCTGTATGCTAAAGTAAAAAATAAAGTAAGAGAATAAAATTAATTCATCAAAAGAAATAATGAAAGATGATGAGTTCAAAATGCAAAGAGAGACATACATTTTTAGGCATGACCAATGTGAATTTTACTAGACTTTGCATGCTTATAACGATGGTTTTATTGTTCATTTTTTTGTTTTGCTTTTGTTTTGTTTAGGAGGCAATGAAAATAGATTATAAATGCATGCAAAAATATTTTTTAAATAATGAATGAATACAGAGGAACATGGGAAGATTATATGAACAAATACGAAGTGAAGCAATCAGAACCAGGAAAACAACATTTCAATAACTACAACAAGTTATTGTAGAAAGAATAAAAACAAAAAGGAAAGAAACCAAAAGCTACGCATTTGCAATGATAAAGCTTGTCTTAGAAGATTTGAGAAAACATATCTCCTTCTCTTTTTTTTTTGTAGAGATAAACGATGGGGTAAAGAACATTGCATATAATCTCCAACTGGGTTGATGGTTGGCTAATTTTCTTAAAATGCTTTTTTCTCCCTCTTTCTTATTTTCTTTGTTACAAGCATTAGCTCTCTGGGCTTGGGAGTGGAAAGGGATATATTTGGAAATGAAGTTAACATCAAATCTAAGGATATCAATACATTTTAAAAGAAAATAAGAAATTCAAACTAATTCATAATACAGCCCTGATGAAATACAAGCTTCTTCATCATGGTTGTCTGATTCTGAATATAGCTTTTGAAGATTACTTTGTGAGTGAGGGGGTTGGAAACTGAAGACACATAGGCAAGGTAGAGGCATGCACAATTGTTTTTAAGTGGATTTCTTTTTTTCAATGCTCTCAACAATTAAAATAAGCACAGTGGATCAGAATGAGTATGCTCACCTATTTTTTAAGGCATTTGGGAAAATAATCGATTGAACCCTAGTAATATACAGAAGTAAATTTGTATTCATCTCTAGCTATGCCCTATGTATTTCAGGCTTTCTAAAGTAATCAGCTACTCCTTTGCACCTAATAGAGAGCTTTAGAATACTCAATTCCTCACTGCAAGGCTAGTCTGCTGCCCACTTTATCATGCAGTCACTCTGTTCATGCTTGCACTCGAAAGCCTGCAGTCAACTTCAGCTACATTTAATTTGTTTTTTTAAAGACTTAAATTATATAGATATAGATAAAATATATATACATAGATCTAAATGTAGATATACATATAGATGTATATTTATATGTAGATGTATATTTACATGTATTATACATATACATATATTATGCATATACATAGATTTAAATGTAGATATACCTATAGATGCCTATTTATATATGGATGCATATTTACATATATAGATGTATATTTACATATGCAAACAAAAAGAAAGACAAAAATCTTTCTTACTCAGTTGTCTCACTTATATCTGACTCTTCATGACTATATTTACAGTTTTCTTGGCAGAGCTAATGGAGTTATTTGCCATCTCCTTCTCCAGTTCATTTTACAAATAAGGAAACTGAGGCAAACAGGATTAAGTGGCTTGCCCAGGATGACACAGCTAGTAAGTGTCTGAGATCAAATTTGAATTCAGGTCTTCCTGACTCTAGGGCCAGCATTCTATCCATTGTGCCACCTAGCTGCCCTTCCCAAAAGTCTTAATGCAGTTTTAAATTTTAGTAGCTTTGGTAGCTTAAAACTGCACCAAGATTTTTGGGACACTCTGTATATGTAAATATCTATTATTTAACACAAAAATAATATTTCAGCACTTTTTAGGACTCTTTTGTTTCCTTCTGTGCAGTAAAAAAAATTTTTTTTTATTAATTCTCTTTTTAACTTTGGCTATACAAACAAAGAATTCTCTATCCCAGTGTAAACTTAGGCCCAGTCCTGATTCTTATCTCTATAGAATTAGAGAGGCAGCTTGGGTTAATAGGGAGCAAGGAAGGTGGGGTCCTACTTGGGACACCTGCTGTGTGACTCTTCCCAAGTCACCTAACCTCTCAGGGCCCTTCCACCCACTACCAACCCTCTTAGACTATAGGCTGCAGACTATCTGCATTGGGAGAGGCAATGTCCTCATCTATACCTCCCTATACTGATGAAATCACAAATCTGGATCCCCCAAAAAAGTATAAATAACCCAGAATAAAAGCAGACTAAGGAACATCCCATAAGAGAGGTTTTGGAGATTTTTTTTTCCCTCCCCCAAATAAATTCACATTCATTTACTAAGAACTTGAATTCCATAAAACCAAATAAGCAGGAAAGGTCAGAAAGTGGAGACACTTTTAATGAATATATTTGCCTGGTTTGGACCCAGGGTAACGGTACACAGGGTCAAAGGTTAAACAATTGGAGGCCCTGGCTTAATAGCAGATCTGAACTGTTCCGTAAATACCACAAATGTCAGTGTGCCTCCTCAAGTGGCATTACAGTAGGATTAGTGTCCTAAGCCTTGTTCCAATTTACTGAGAAATGGGGAGAATGATTCTCATCAACCTCGTCTGAAGCAGGGGAAGATTGATTTTCCTTTACCACTTGTACTGCTTTATGAGTTTTCCAGATTCTGCTTTCCCCTGCCTGAAGCAGGGATGGAAGCCACCAGAGCTGCTTCAGGCCATATGTGAACAATAACCCAGAAAGGCTGAGGCTCCAAGTCTACAGGAAGGCCTGGCTTGCTGGAGCAGCCTTCCTTGTATTGAGATGACCTTATGCTGCGCCAGCTAGCCAGAGCCTGGAACCTGTAGGCAGGCGAAAGTGTCATGGCCTATTCTCAGAAACTCAAAGAGGCAGTGTAGCATGGTGCAGTCTGTGGTAGTGGATAGAGAACTGGTCTTCCAGTCAGGGAAGGAATGGGTTCAAATCCCAAATCTGACATATACACTGTGTGACTCTGGTAAGTGACTTCATTTCTTCAGTCTCCATGTAAATCTCTTAAACTCCAAGCTGCAGAGCCATTGACAGGCTTTGATAGAAGGAGTCTCCTCATCTGGGAATTCCTTGTATCAATGAAATCACAGAGCCAGTCCTTATGCCCCATTAAAGAAAAGCTATCTGGCTTAACTAAAGACACAAAGGGAATTATAAGGGGAAACAGGGTTAATAATGATAATCACAACAACAAACATCTATATAGTATTTATTATGTTCCAGGAACTTTATTAAGCACTTTACAATTATAATCTTATGTGATTCTCACAACAACCCTAGGAGGTAGGTGCTATTATTATCCCCATTTAACAGATGAGGAAACTGAGGCAAACCGGTTACATGACTTATCCAATGACACACAACTAGTAAGTGTCTAAGGTCAGATTTGAAGTCAGATCTTTCTGCCTCCAGGTCTAGTACTCTATCAACTGTACCATGTACCTACCCCACAACAGGATAGTAGGTGCTAGTAGCAAAGTACTAGGGCAAGAATCTAAGGTATGGCACTTTGTTTGACAGAGGAAGACTGGACTCCCCAAAAACACAGTTTTTTCTAGACCATAACAAAGGTGCAGGGTGGTACATTGGGAAGAGCACTGTCATTGAAATCTTGGTACCTGAGTCCTAGCTACTTCTGTGACCTCAAGAAATTCCTAAACATTTCTGGATCTCTATAAGGATTCCACTAACCATCCCTTCAAACTCTAGCTCAATGATTTTATGAACTGAGAACAAATCCTATTCTGTTACTCATGAGCTCTAAGACCTTGGTCAAGTCACTTAGCTGCTCTTTTTGTGTGACAACTGACCATCAATTAGGGAAAGGCTAAACAAAATGTGGAATATGAATGGAATGGAATATTATTGAGCTATAAGACATGATGAAGGGAATGGTTTCAGAGAAAACTGAGGATGTATGTATGAACTGATAGGGAGTGAAGTGAACAGAACCAAGGGAGTAATTTTTATGCTATAATAACAAGTATAAAAAGACCTATACTGAAAATCTTAAGAAGGCTAATCAATGCAATGATCAACCATTATCCAGAGAACTGATCATGAACAATGATATCTATCTCCTAACAGACAGGTGCTAAAATAGGCAGAACGACCCACATTTTGGACATGGCCAATATGGGACTTTATTTTGCTTGACCATATACATTTGTGACAAGGTACTTTTTTTCTGCAGTGTGAGGGAGAGAAGTGAAAACAATTGTTAGTTTAAAAAATCAATTAAAAAAACAAAATGAGAGAGTTTACGCTAGATGACTTCAAGTATGCCTCCCAAATCTAAATGTGATTATCCAATTATGATAGTATTCTTCAAAATAATTTATTCTATTGGAGAACTACTGAACAAGAGTTAAGACTCATGGGATTGACGTATTTCCTGACATGGAATTAACTTGTGATTTCCTGAGCTATAAATGCTTTTTTATATGAAAACAAGGGAATTAAAAGGAAACAAAGGAGTTGGACTAGTCTTGGAGTCAAGGAGAACAGTCTCACCTTGGAAACATAAGGCTGGGTAGCCATAGTTAAGTTGCTTCACTCCTCATTGTCCACAGGCACACCTAAGATTAGAAATGATCAATGTGTACTAGTGGAGGGAATTCTCCCCACAATTAAAATCTTATGTCTCATTCTTGCTCCCCCCCCAAAAAAATTTTTTAAAATATTGAACCAAAACTGTGAAGTTCTTTAAACTGTTTTAATAGTGGCAGCAGAAAACTTTATTCTATGCAAAATCAATCAGTTTTCTCTACCTTCTTGACTCTTCTGTACTGCATTATTCCAAATCTTTGAGATTCAGTTGAATGCCAAAGAGGGAGAATCATTGCTTGGATAATGTAAGGAAGGTTACCTGACCCCTCCAGAAGACACAGAATGAAAAAATGAGGGACAACATCCATTGTCCTTTTTACTATCCCAGAAAGGTGGGAAAGGCTCCCGTAGATGCCAATTCTCATTTTATACAAACGACAAAGACAAAGGCTCCTATCAGTTTAGAGAGGGAAATCAACTTTTGGATTTTGATGCTAAATTTAGATAATGAGACATAATGCATTATCATATCTTTCAGAGGAAAATATAAAAGTTCTTTTGAGCAGCAGGTCAGATTTATGTGTATAATGTTAAATAGTTGTTTTTTTAACCTATTGCTCACTTTCTGTGTGTATCTCTATCTTTCTGTATCTATCTTTTTCTACGTATCTCTCATTGTCTTTTGGTCTGTCATGTCTTTGTGCCTATTCATCTCTGTCTGTGTCTCTCTGTTGGTCTCTTTGTGATTGTCTCTGTCTATCATTATCTCTCTCCCCCTCCTTCCCCTTCCTCCCACATCCTCCCATCCCTCCTCCCTTTCTCTGTCCCTCTTCTTCCCTCCCTTCCTCTCCTTTCCTTCCATTCCTCCCTTCCTCTCCTCCCTTCTCTGTCTCTCTGCCTCTGTCTCTGTCTCTCTGTCTCTCTCTCTCTCTCTCTCTCTCTCACACACACACACACACACACATATCAGCCTTCAAACTTTCACTTTCTCCTCTGCCATTCTATTAATGCATCTGCAAACAAAACTGTTCCCCTGCCAAACTATTTTGGGATCAATTGGTCCTAAAGAGTAAATATACATTATGGGACAGAGTAGTAATTTTAGTGTAAGAAAAGCAGAAGAAAAGGACTGGGGAGGGGGTGGCAGGATGTCAGGGAGGGAAAGAGTTCAGAGGAAAATGTTCTTGTGTTACAAAAAGGGCTTTTCAGCTTGCAACAAAAATCCAATTCAAGTTAACAAATTAACCTTTTCTTGGTTCACTAATGATTTGAAAATAATGACTACATTAAGCTAGGAAACCTAACCACTCTTAAAGAGTAAAAATATAGAGATCAACATGAACTGGGCTGAACTGCTTGATGGTAACTGCATAATAGCCCTTTTGATAATGTATAAAATAAACCCAGGAAATATTTTGATAGATTAATACTCAAATGAATTGCAAGTTAAACTTCTCCAGCACAGTAGTGCAATACATTTCACTTACCACTGAAGAGAAAGTTGCAAATGGTACAATTGCTTAACAAGCTCCATATTGTTAACTTTGAGCAGGTGGAATTCCAGATGGTTCAGAATTAGGAAACTGATGCTCCAGCTATTTCCAATCTGCCAAGTGTGTCAATGGCCAACTGGAAACTGTAGAAAGATTGTCCTTAAGTTCATGATCAAGAAGACATGCCAAACTTGGGCTGAGCACTACCTTTCAAAGAGTGCCCTATATCTGGTCAATAACCCAACTATTTAATCATATGAAGGAATTATGTGTCTTTAATGAGTACTAAGGTTAAGCTTAGGGGCAGCTGGGCAGTGCAGTGGATAGAGCACCAGGCTTGGAGCCAGAAAGATGAGTTCAAATCCAACCTCAGACACTCACTAGCTGTGTGACCCTAAGTGAGTCACTTAGCCTCTGTTTGCCTTAATCCACTGGAGAAGGAAATGGCAAACTACTCTAGTATCTTTGTTAAGTCTGTGATAATGAAACTATGTTTATTCTTTGTCACATATTATCAATGTTTAATAAGTCCAAGTTTTTTCTCTGCCCCCAAAATCATCAAACAGTTTGCATTCAAATGAGGCATTAACTTATATTCTTTACAAGGTAATTTAAGTTTTCATATTTATGCCACAGACCATTTTATATCCTACACTGCTCAAATCCCACTTAGTAGTTGTGTTCAGTTTCTCATCTATCTCATCACCCCAATAAATCTAATTAAAATTAATTAGAATGACTCATCTTCCACATCAAAGAGCAGTGGCCCCTTTAGAGAGCTGAATAAAAAAGGTTCTTCCTATACGTCACTAGATGAATATACAACAGTAGTTCTTGGTTCTTTAAAAGATGTATGATTTTCAAAAAACTATTACGTGCCACCATTATCTTCAGAGGTCTTTTTCTCTTTTCTCCAAAATATCCAGATGTATCATCATGTTAGTGCAGTCAACCGTAACAAAAACTGCATGAGGAGTTGTTTTTTTTTTTTTTAATAGCACTATCATAGTTATTCCCAGTTGAATAATGGACTATGCTTTCCACAGTGCATGATAGTCATCTGTGTTACTAAAGTTATAACTGGAGAATTATTGGCCTGACTTCTCTGAAAGGCACAAGGAAGATGACACAGATTTGAACATACGGTGTGAGATCAAAGAAGGTAATAATGGGGCAGGAAGCAACATCTAAAGAAAAAAGAAAAATCTCTGTAGATCAGCAATCAATTTATAAAGTTCAAGAGCAGTAAACACTGGGTATTATTTTAAACTGCCCAGAATGAATAAAACAGTTTTAAACCCTGCCCTGATAGTATTCCTTATAGGACCATAATTAAATAAGCCAAACACTTATTTGAAAAATTCTTTTTCAAATTAATAAATCAGGTAACCCTTTAGGGCATGATAAAGAATTATCCAATAAAGTAATGGGGGACACAAGAATCCATGTGATAAGTTTTAAATGCTCTACCTATCACTATACAAATTTATTCTGATAATTAAGAAAACCTTTAAAGTGCCTAATGCCTGGCTCAGAGACTCCACAGAACAACCCATATCTCTTAAGCCAAGCAGATAATGACTTCTGTCCCCTTCCAGCTGATAGCGACTTCTTGAGTTTACATCCCTAGAATAAACAAGGAATGTTGGGGTTTAGGAGAAAGCAGGCATGGAAATCAGTAATCAAAAAATATATATTTAGTGTCCACAAAGCGTCAGGCACTATACTGAGTAGTCACACCCTTGAAAGGTACTTTAATGAGTATTAATCTATCAAAATATTTCCCAAGGTATGCCAATAAAGAAAACTCTAAGAATTCATTAACAATGCCACTATTGCCCAACATGATGAAGACTTAGGTAGAGAAGGACTAAACAGCTTTCTAGACTTGGGTGTCTTTGCCCTAGTAGATTTCTTAATTCAGAATATCCTCCACCTCAGTTGAAAGCAGTGATGACTTTCCATCTTCCATTTTTCCTCCATGAACATCTCTCTTTCCAAGCATCATTTGACTCTTCATGTCCTTCATTCCCAAACACTGACTATTAACATTGACCATATAGAATGTTGCTCTATTCCTATTTTGGTTTACATGTTATTTAAGACTCCTTGGGAATGGTGCCTTTGGTACCTATGCCAAGATTTCTGGGTGCCAGGTAGCCATCTGACTAGTCAGCTACTGCTTTAAATATCATAATGCCCAATGTATTTTATTGATTTATGTATTTTAAAAAGCCTCTTAACTGCTTCTAAATTTTCCAAGAATCTAAGAGAAAAGGGTGGAACAGTTTCAGTATTCATTCATTCATACTGTACAGTATCACCATTTCATAGGGAAATAATCATTGAATAAATTATTTCCTTTCCTCTTTTATTTTAAAACCATAGAAACAATATAGTTTATTGTACTGAATAACTGGCTATGTGTGATTAATACTGACTGAAAAAAAATACAAGATCAGTGGTGAATCAAAAACTTTCTTCCAAAAAAGCTGTCCTTGTGTTGAAAAAGGAATAAGGTTAAATTTTTTCCTCTTATACTGTTACTTCAACATTTCAAAAGATTAGTGTGGACTCTCCCTCCACTTGTACTGATTATAGCTCATCCCCCCCTTAGTGATGGTGTTAAGAATTACTAAGTTATTTTGAGTGAACAAGTCATTTTGACTATTATAACCCAAATTAACTACAAAAGAGTTATGAAGGAAGATGTTATCTGCATCCAGAGAAATGACTGATAAATAGAAGTATACACAGAATGTTTTTACATGCACACACACACACACACACACACACACACAAACATACACATACATATTTGTGTTTAATGGTAGCCATCTCTTGGGGGGGAGAGAAAAAAAGAAAAAGAGAAAATTACATGATACTTTTTTTGTATATTCAAAAGGGATAGTAAGTTGTACTTAATAGATTTGCAGCTTAATGTGTAATTTTTTATTATATTGTGTTACGGAAATGTTTAATTTAATCCATAAATTAAAATAAAATAAATAATTTTTTAAAAAGAATTATTAAGTCCAAAAAAATTCTATCTCCTAGTTGTAACCCCCTACAGTGCTAGACCTTTCTGAACATCAGTAGGAAGTCCTTGGGCAACAAAAAAAGAGTACCTAACCTTGTCTTTAGAGTTCTATGGCATGCATTCTGATGGCAAAGTCTTCAACAAAGTAGAGGCTACCCTCACTGACAAAGATGTGCTGGAGGGCTTGGGAAAGCCAAATGTAAAATTTTCAAAATGAGAATTTACACTTCAGAAATCAGCAAACTGGGGCAGCTAGGTGTATACAGCACCAGCCCTGAAGTCAGGAGGATCTAAGCTGAAATCCGGCCTCAGACCAAACACTTGACACTTACTAGCTGTGTGACCCTGGGCAAGTCTCTTAACCTCAATTGCCTAAAAATAAAAAAAAATTTTAAAAAATCAGCAAATGCCACAAAATCAGGGCTTGATTTATTGTCCTGTTGAATGTCTAGACTTAAGAAAGTGTTAGAGAAAATGTTAATAATGCAGATTAAATTTATAAGTGGATCTACTGTACTTTTTTTTCTTTCTAGAGAGAAGGTTGTTAAATATTTACCAGCACTCCTTTCCCCCCATACCACATTAAGACAATATATTAGGAGTTCAATGGAGACTCAGGTTAATAAAAGAACTTACACTATCTGTTGGGAGTCTGAATTTCTTGGATTAACAATCTCTTCAGATGTAATAGAATTTTTAAATTTTTTATTTATTTTATTTTTAATGTATGTAATAAAACAAGCATTTCTGGGGCAGCTAGGTTGCTCAGTGGATAGAGCACTGGTCCTGAAGTCAGGAGGATGTGAATTCAAATTCAGCCTCAAACCAAGCACTTGACACTAACTGTGTGACCCTGGGCAAGTCACTTAACCCCAATTGCCTAAAAAAAAAAAACAACCAACAAGCATTTCCATAACATAGTATAATTTTTAAAAAGATGATCACACATAGAACTGCAGATCTATTAGGTGTACCTTGCTATTCCTTTTAAATGTATAATAGTCATCATGTAAATTTCTTTTTTATCCCTTTTTTTCTTCCCTCCCCCTCATACCCTAGAAATGACTATCATTAGACACAAATATATATACATATATAAAATCACTATACATCTATTTATCAGTTTTTTCTCTGGATGCAAATAGCATATTCTTTCATATGTCGTTTTTTATTTCAAGCTTTGTACTGATCAGTCCAGCTAATCAAATAAGCTAGTTCAACTAAATTCAATTACAATCATTTCATTGTTCTATTCATCATTTTTATTATTATAATTGATCTTTCTAAAATGTAATGGGGGGGAGGATCCTTAAGCAAGCAAGGGTTAGATCTTAAAAGACAAAATAACCAATTTTATCACATATAATTTAAAAGTTTTTGAATTAGCAAAAATCAAAACAATTTAAATTAGAAACTATCAAGTGAGGGAAAATATTTGCATTAAATATTTCTGATAGAAGTCTGATGTCCATGATATATGGAGAATTAACACTAATACCCAGACCTACTCTGGAATAGGCAAGTGTCAATGGATACTAACAAATATTCTTCAAAAGAAGAAATTCAAATAATAAAAAAAAATATGAAAAATTGCTTCAGATACTAAGGATGCTAATTTTTAAAACTGAGGTTCTGTCTCACACCCATTGTACTGGGGCCCTTCCCCATGCCTTCTGGAGCATGCCTAGATATTTTCAGCCTGCTCCCAAGTGACCATGTGGAGACTTTGGGGGCTGGCTTTTACTCCATGTATGATTAATAGTTGAGAGACTTCTGACTGTTGAGCTGGAAGAGCTGAGTTCTCAGGGGAACTTTTAAAAGAAGATACAAATTCTGGCTGTCCTTCTCTTGACTTTCCCTCTTGAGGCACTATGATTCAAATATGAGCAGGTGACCTCATGAGTAGCACTGTCTGGAAATCTGAGGTGACAGGAATACCTCTTGGCATGGTGGCAGAGATATCACCAACAATGACATCCACAGGCAGAACAATGGTTGATGGCAGGGGAAGTGTCTCCACTAGAGAGAGAGGACTGACCAGCTTGGTCATTTTGCCAGCCAGTTGATCAGATAGTGCCAAGTGTGGTGAAATG